AGAACTTGGGGGACTCCTGTTTATACCAAAATGAACAGCCAATGAGCATCGGACACGTGGACCAAACTAGAGCTATGGGAGCCTTCGGCACCTAGCTTCAGTACCATGCCTACCGATCGCACGATTAGGGCAACTTCACCCCCGGGGACACGTGGCAGTCACACAATTGATGTCCACAATCCCACATCGAAACTCTAAACAAATTGCACACCTCCTAAGGCCTATAAAAGAGGACAACTATTCCAGCTTGGAGGTAATCAATCAGAACTTACGGCATACTGCCTATTGATTTGTAGTTCAAACTTACTAAATCCGTACTTACTCAAGCATCGGAGAGACTTCGGCCGGTACCACACTAGTGCCCTAGGTTTTACCGAGCGTTTGCTATCTTGCAGATCGAACGTCCTACCGAGGCCCAGAGCATACCGAAGGCCCAATATCTCTAAATTGTGCGGGAAAGTGTCGAACCATTTTTCTGCGTCAACAAGTGGCACGCTGATTATAGAGAGCGCGGGTGAGGCGTTTGGCCTCTGTCAAAGTGGTTGGTCGATGGAGGAGTACGTCGTCGCGAAGGTCAGGCTCTAGATTGCCAACATAAACACCCATCCATTTCCAATTGTATATGTTGTCCGAAAAAAAATTATGATGCTGCCTCTTTCATTTCAAGGTTCAACTTTTCATGAGTTAATCGGTCCAATCAAGAGCTCGACAGGAAAGCTTGAACAATTCCGCATTATACTCGTCCACGAAACCAATGTGGTGTTTGGGGCTGGGGAAGGAGGTGGGGTGATGTGCAGGAAAGGGTGAGTTGGGGAGTATGTGGGAAAGTGAGTAGGGGCTCGAAGGGTGGAGAAAAAACTAGGTGGAGGAAAACGATGTGTGACGAGCATGTGAGAATGGGGGAATGGCCATTGGCCAGTGAGGAGAGGGCGGGTAGTGGCTGGGGGTGGGGTGGTGTATACGGCAGGGGAAGACAAAAGGGAGCGACAGGTGTTATTACAACTAAAAGGAAAAAGGACTCGGGATCCTAACAAACGTGGTTGGTCGAATTTGGAAGTAGAGTTGTGTTGGAATACTTTTTTATTTGACTTTTTAATTTATTATGACAAGTATAGTGGATTTTAAGGTTTTGAAATAAATCGTGGAATTAACTTAGATGTTTTGTTGAGTGTAGATAAAAAAAGTCAAAAGAAGGTAACTGAGTTTTGTTCTTTGTTCTTGTGCTAATGGAAATTGTGGATTTGAGTACGAAGTGTGGTGGCTGGTGTGGGTGGGATTGGATTTGAAGTGATAATTTTACCCTCTAAATTTAACATAAAATTTAACAAATTTGACCACAGGACTGATATTGCAAACAAAAGCGGAGTACAACAACTATTTTGCGAATTTGAGGATGAAAATGTAAATCGAATCTAAGTTGAGGGACTATGACAACTAAAAAACCCAATAAGAAAAAGCTTTGAAATCAAATCCAATGCTTTTGCCACCTAATGAGGAGAAGCATTGGATGAATAGTCACGACTAAGATATGAGAAAGAAATGCAACCGAATTCCGTCACCAACCTCATGATGAAAAAAAAGCATTAAAATTTACAGTCATGTGTAAAATATGAGCAGAAAGAATTGCTGATGACTCTGCGGTAAATGCATAACTGATTGATCAAATGAAATTATATATATATATATATATATATATATCGATCTGAGGTGTACAAAGTATTGAAAGTAAACCCTAATTGCAATTCTGCTTTTTTTACATAACCCTAATTAAGAAAAGATATGGAGTTGGAGGAAGAAGTACTAGAGCCAGTGAGCCCTACTGGTCACTACTTCACCAGCTCTGTGTTGTCAGTGTCGAATCTTGCTGTTTTGGAAACTGAGATTCCGTTCGATGAGTCTCAAACCATGTCTTTGGTTCAGAATGTCTTCCTCCCAATCAGCCCACGCTTCTCCTCTATCATGGTATTTAGCTCTCTCTCCTCTCTCTCTCTCTGAGCCTGAAATCAATATATTAAACAATCCTTGCTTAATTATTTTACATGTTCTTATATAGAAGAAAACGAAAGTAAAGTTTCTCTCAGCCAACTAATGTACCCAGAATTTACAAAAATTTCTCAAAGAATAGGAATTATTTATGCTTTTTCAATTTTATTTTTAACATATATAATATATGAATTTGTTGGAAAGATCGCCTGAATTTCATGCTCAGAGAACGTTTCCCAATCACCTGTGAATATTTTTTTTTCCAAGTTTTCACATGAAGTATCATAAAGAAAAGGAAAACTTTGAAAACTTGAACAAAAATTAATTATTTGAGTGTTTCACTAAGCTAATAATATGGTTGCCTTAGCTAACTTGGGACATCATCACCATATTTATGTATTTGGTTTAATAATTTTCCAAATCCTGTGGCTATGAATAATGAAACTCTTGTTTGATAATTCCTCATATAATCCACCCTGTAATTTTCTTTTGTACTTCAAAACATAAAATTTATTAATTTGGAAAATATAGGTTGAAAATAATGGGAAGAAACGGTGGAAAAGGGTTGAGGTGAAGCTTGAAGACCATGTAACCATCCCTATTTTCCCACCCAACCTATCTCCAGAATCATATGACAAGTATCTTGACGACTACATATCAAAGCTAGCAGTAGAAAGATTGTCACCAGAAAAACCACTTTGGGAATTTCATATCATCAAATACCCAACTAGCAATGCAGCTGGTAATGTAATCATCAAGCTCCACCATGCCCTAGGGGATGGCTTCTCTCTCATGAGTGCTCTTCTTTCTTGCCTACAACGGGCTGACGATCCTCGTCTTCCCCTAACGTTTCCTTCAAGGCAAAGGTCACAGCCAAAGAGTGAAAGTTTGGTGACAAAAGTTTGCTCATCAGTCTTTAACACCCTGTCAGATTTTTGGTGGGGGATTTCAAACAGCACCATGGATGAAGATGATCTCACACCAATCAGGTCTGGGAAGGGAATTGAGTTTCAGCCCATTGCAGTGTCAACTATGACATTCTCTCTTGATCAAATCAAATTAATCAAGAGGAAGCTTGGAGTGGTAAGCTCAATAAATCAACAAGCTACTATATATATATGTGTGCATATTTCATTCCAAATTTAATATGTATCTCTCCCTGTCATATTTCGTTTCTTTCAATTATATACCAACTATTGTGAGACTTGTGAGCTTAATTTGTTTAACATTGCAAGTTCAAAAAAATGACATTTTGAATTGGATTGTTCTATCAATCAACACGTGAAAAGGAATAATCGCCCCAAGTTTTTCTCTGAGATATGACCAATCCATATTTGTAGTTGTTAATAACTTACTAATATTCATTATATAATGTAATTTGCGTATTTAATTACTTTCTAACAACGTAATTAACAGACGATAAACGACGTTCTTACGGGGATGATCTTCCTTGGCACTCGACTATACATGCAAGAGATTGACAAAAGTTCAAGAAAAGCACGAGGCACAGCAGTGGTGTTGCTCAACACAAGGATGATGGGGGATTATACTTCAATCCAGGAGATGATCAAACCCAACAGCAAGATGCCATGGGGCAATCATTTTACATTCTTGCATGTACCAATACCCAACTTATTCTTACCTGAAGATGATCATCCTCATGAATATTCAAGTATAATTGCCCTTGAATTTGTCTCCAAGGCACAGAAAATAATCAGCACGAAAAGAAACTCTTTAGCTATTTATCTCACCAGCAGGTTCTTGGAGATTCTCAACAGATTTGGAGGCCATGAGGTATGTAAAAAGAGTTCGAGTCCCTCTCTTTAATTTTGTCCTAACTACTAGAAATTTGGTCTTAAACAACACTGCTTAGGCATTGTCAAGAAAAATATTACATTAGGCATCACCTTATAATTACATCGATCGGTATTAAAGAATAAAACACAACGAATAAAAACCGATGCCTATGACGAAATTTCTGGTAGTGCATCCTTTTGTATATACTGAAAATAAAGGGTCCTGTTTATTTTAGGAATTCTAAATGAATTTGTAATGTTCACCAAACAAAGGATGTTGCTTGTCATGTGGTGCAGGCAGCAGCGAAATACATTCGTAGCACATTGAAGAACTCCAGCATGGTAATCTCGAATATGATTGGGCCTGTGGAACAAATGGCTTTGGGTAATCATCGAATTAAAGGCTTATACTTTTTGGTGTTAGGTTCACCTGAGGTAAGTCTTTTTTTGTATTCCTTCAAAAAAAAAAAAAAAAAAAAAAATCATTTATGGCATTTACCCCATAGTTAACATAATCTCAATGGACTTGCATGCAGGGCCTTGACGTGACAATAGTAAGTTATATGGGGAAGGTGAGGGTTGCCTTCAAAATGGAAAAGGGGCTTATCGATCCACAAAAGTTCAAGTCATGCATGGAAAATGCATTTGAGATGATACTCAAAGCATCGGACGCGAAGAACAACTAAGGAGGCATAGGTTGAAATGCCAAGACGCCGCCATCACTAGTTTATAAAACTTTAAAGCTTTTATTATTATTATTAATATAATAGAAGTGTGATTTATGATGCTGGATTTTGCTATTAACAAGCAGAATTTGTTAATATTGGGGGCCAAGAGGGTCTCTAAATCTGGTAGCTATAATTTCAATGAAATATGAATACAATTAATCAGAGATTCTCTTGGTACATTTGAATCAATTCCTCACGAAAGATCGATTCATTCTGCATATCACACAAGAAATGAGAATTGTAATTCCAGCCTCCTGCTCTTCATAATGTAAAGAATAGTGCTGAGAATAGGAAAGCTTGTGGGGCTTGGAGTTGCTCAGCTTGTAATTGACTTGTTATTGAGTTTCTGCTGTGTTTCTTGTGCATGAAAACCTGCTATGTTTTTGTGCAGTTTCATGCAGTTCGGTCTGCTTATTCTGCAATCCGTTTGAAAAAGTATTTCTCATTCATCTAAAAAGAAGAAAATCTATCAGTTGTCGATTGATATGAGGCAGAAAGGAAGAAAGGAGCTAAATAAGATGCTGAAGGAAAATGTAGCCGGAAGTTTACAATGTGTGTTGTATTGCACTTATGAATATGCTTGTTTGCACACATGTGTTTGTGCTTATGCACTCGCATCGCATTTACGATCAGGGAAATTGGAATACAAGTTAACAAGTTAGCCAGTGCCATTCTCTGTAATGTGTCCTGATTTGCTGAAACTAAATGAGGAATCCAACCACCCTGCATTCTTCGCTCGTTCAACGTAATGGGTAAACTGTTTCTGGACATCAGGGACATCCAAAGCCAAGTCTTCTAGAGACTCTGCTACTCTCCCAAACCCCTTTGTCATTTGGTTCATTGTTATGAGTCCAGAGCCGAAACATTCCTCAAGCAAAATCCAAAGTCTTTCATTCTTCTTTTCCATAATTGCCACCAAAGCTTTTTTGACAACCTCATGATTGAAAAATGGCATGCCTAATTCCTTCATGCACCGGCAAGCCTCTCTGACGCCCCCTCCAGACTCAAACTCTTCTAGCAACTTTCCAATCTTGTCCTTAACGTCCTCAACTGCCCATCCAGGTCTGCTGCTTCCTCCACCACCCCAACACCTTAGTATCCGCTCCCCAGAAAGTCGAGCCTTTAGCAATGACTTTGCCATTTTAAGAACCTTGCTCCCAATGGACTCTGGTGCCGCGCACTGACTTCCAATCTCTTCCAAGTGTTGTGGAGCTAGGACTTCATCCACCACAGATCTAGCAAGAAACATTGCAAGATCCTCAACCACAACTGGATTATCCAGAGCTGTGTCATCTGCTGATTCTATCAGCATTACAAACCCGTTCACAACATCATCAGCTGGAAAACACAGGGATGACAGTAAGACTGATGCCATTTCCTTCTCCCTAAGAGTTATCAATCTTTTAACAAAGATAGCATTCAGCTCAGACGAATAAGTACTGTTCTCTGACTCTAGACAACTGTTTACCTCTAAGATATCCCCAGACAAGAAGTACTCTTGAATAATAGATTGAGCCTTTGTCTTGAAAATTCTGGCAACACTATCTTCTAATGATCGCTTTTCTGGCTCCAAAGAGAGTGACTTCAAAGATGAAGCACACAACCAGCCTTCTGATGCTGCCTTAGAGATCAATGACTGCAAAATTCCCCGCGCATTTGGTATGTCCAGTGATAAGTCATCAACATAATCAATCATCCTACCAAAGCCTTTTGATACTTGGCTTGAGTTAATTAAACCCTCTTCAGCAGCTTCTTTCAGCAGATCTAGTAGCCGGCCTTCAGCTTGCCGCCTCTCCATTGCCATTACAAGAGCTCGTTTAACTATTTCATGATGGAAAAAAGGAACTTTCAAATCCTTGATGCATCTGCATGCCTCTTTCTTATCACCACTCACTACGTACTCTATCAACAAATTGTTTATCTTAGCCTTAACATCCTCAACAGTCCTTTTTTTGCTACCTCCCCATCGCCGCTCAATGATTTCTGCATGAAGTGGTGCTGCTAAGTAGCCCTTCTCAGCTCTTTTCAAGACTTCAACACCCTTTGAATCTTTAGGTAAGTAATTCATTTCTTTTTTTAGGAATGCAGGAGGAAGTATGTCATCAACCACAGCCCGGGCAATGAACAGTGCAAGAACATCAACAGTATCTGGGATATCCACAATCAAGTCATCTGCGCATTCTACCAGTTTACAGAAACCTTTGTAAACTTGTGGGGGATCAATGAATTCAGCATATAGTGCAGATAAAAGAACAGCAGCCATTTCTTTCTCTTTGTCATGCCTATCCATAGCCTTAGAGACAAGCTTCTTTACAAAATAATAGCTGTAGTTAGGTCTATCAAGTTCTCTAAATTCATTTGCAGTTGAGGTAATGTCATCAGTAGTAAAGTATTCCTCCACTATTATTGTAGCTTTCTTTTTGTACTCCTCAAAGTCGACCCTCTCTTTTTTCGCAATTGGATTTTCACATTCCTAGAACCAACACAAATAATTGGTAAACACAACGAAAGAAACTACAATGGAATATAGCAATTAAAATGAGCATTGCATCTGTTGGTTTCTTATCAAGATCCAGGCAGAGTTAAATATGAAGGTGCATTGTTCAATTACTTACCTCACTGCTATTGAAGTTTGGGTCATTTGGATCAAGAACGTCATTTTCATCTGTATCAAGTAACCCTCCCCAGGTGCCTTTACCCCCAGAACCACCTGCATAATGATTGTCTTCATAAAATTAAGAGTGGAAAACCACCACCGGAGTCAAAAAAAAATCAGAGTACCTTCAAGTTATTGATTATACCATTAGAAGCATTTTGTTATCAACCAACAAATAACTGTAGATGCCTCAAGTTTTCTCCATCTAAATTTAATCTACTAACACCATTTCAACTATACATGTAGATATTTTTCTTTTCTTGGCATCTGTTAGTTTGGCACAAATCTTTTTGGTTCTTGAGAAGAAACAGTTTGAGAAGGTTCAATTCTCTGGAATGAAGTTCTAGATCTGCGGATTTATCAAATCAACCTCTAAAAATGAACAAATTTTCATTGGAAAATACGTTATGTAGTTATGTAATTATATTCATTTTCTGCTGGATTTTGGGAATTACTGTACCACATGTCTGGTCATGGTATATATGAATTGTGAAGAAGCCTTTGAGTCCAAAGACAGACCTTACTTGTGGTAAGCTTTACAGTACAAGATGGTGCCTAAAATCGAAGTTCTTTATTGCCGTTTCCTAGCCATTATATTATTCCAAAAAATATCTTCAAGCAGAATCCGTAAGAAGATGTCATAAGTGTAGCTTACCCTTTTTAGGACGCCCATCTACTGAAGAATGTGAATGCCTATCTTGCTTGAGTGGGCTTCCTTTTCCATGTTTGCCCTGCATCTTTGGAGAACTTGGAGACTTGGGGGACTTGGGAGTTTTGGGGGACTTTGGAGACCTTGGAGACCTCGGAGAAATGTGCAGTGGAGACACAGATAATGGATCTGCACTTTCTGAAGCAGATCGGTGAAGCTCCCGATGCTCTTTTGATACAAATCCATCACTGAAGTCCATTCTGCTTATGTTTTGTCCTTTACACTCGAGTCACAAGCACCAATTCTCCAATCTAGTTATGGTGATGTCAATATATCTTTTTCTATGGAGTACACTTACATCAAGATCCAATTAGCGCCTGTTTTACAAGAAAAATAAAACAATTCAATGGTCTTTAATAATAAGACACTACAGTCCTTAGCAATCACTCTATATCTAACCACAAACTCATATGCAGCACAAAATCAGGTGATAAAAGCAGTAAATAACTTCCATTATACCACACATTTCAAAACTTAGTGGACCAATTGAAACTTACAACAATATAAGTGAAGAAGGCCATAAAATGAAGATAACAAAGGATTCTGTATGTAGCATGATTTCCTGGTATGAAAACAGAACAAGAGAACCACACACACTTACCCTTCAAATTTTTTTAATTTCGCTACATACAAAAAGAAAACCAATGTAATTGAAAACCATATAAAACGGTTTTCATTTTCTTGTTGATCTTGAAAACCATCATAAAGTTGTGTGTTCTTCCTCCTTTCTCCTTCACATCAATTATCACTCTCTTCTCCTTCTCATCTCCATCTTACCATATTTACTTAATTAAAGGAAAAAAATACAAAGACAATACCCAAGATGCCCTACGTTTTCTACACAATTAACATTTGGTTTTTAAATCCAAACAAGGTCACAAACAAGATCAAAACACATGGTTCATGCAACATATCCAATCAAATTTAACATCACCTCACTTTCTTCCTGCCATGTTGGGAAAGAAGAAAATGCAACAAGTCTGCAACAAATTCAGAAACACAGAGTTATAAAACTATTGGGTTTTCGTAAACACAAAAATATAAATCGAAAAAAAAAGTGAAAAAATGAAAAATTTAATGAATAACCGTATAAGAAATCGAAACCAGGGCGCTTGCTTCCTTGAACTCGGCTTTGAGGCTCTGTTTCTGGGTAAGACTTGTCCCTTTGAGAAGAGCAGACAATGTCAAGAGGCAGTTGCAAAATTGAAGGGCGTTAAAAGTCGTTGGAATTCAACGCGCATCTTGAGGAAACGTCTCATCCAACGGCTGAGAGCACCTTACATTCTGCCTTTTGAAACGGGAAATAAAGAAAAACCCGGGAGAGTCTTGGGTCCGAAATTCCACACACTGACTGACTGCACAATGCCGCAAGAACGGGGGTTTTCTACATACACCCAAAACTTTCTTCCGGGCACCCTCTCAAGCTTAAGAAAAAGCGAAATTACGTTCTGGTGTATGTAGTTTGGAACAAATTTCACTGCGGTGTAGTTTTTAAACGGTGCAATTTTGAGGCCGTAATTGGGTGGACAAAGAAGATATTTTTCATTTTGGAAAAAAAGAAAAAGAAAAAGAAGAAGTTATTTTTTCATTGTAATTTATTTTCCAAAAATTTTAACCTAAAAATTATTATTTTAAAATATTAAATTTATTGCATAAAAACGGGTCAAGTCATAAAACGAGTACAACAACAAAATATGAAGTCGAAAGAAGTGAATGAAAAGTAACTTGTGGCTCAAGTGGTTCAAATGAGTTATCTATGCGTGTTCAAAATCTTCCCTTTCTCAATATCAATAAGGATGGTAATGTGGTGAATCGGGGTTGGGTTTGCCTTTCCCTCATCCCCGTCTCCATCCCTGCACGCAAAATTCAAATTGCGGATTCCCAATTCTCTCATTCTTTGGGAATCGGTTTCCCTACCCACCCTATTACAAAAGTATCATTAAAAAAAACTTTGTTAAACAAGAAAGAAGTGTTATGAATCTAGTGTAAATCAATTCTGTTTTCATTAATATCAAATAAGAATTACTTAGCCAAATTAATACCTACAAAAAAAACTATAACATTAATAGTACAACATACACAAATATATGCTCTAAACATAGAAGATACAGGTACATTATTAAAATAGCATCAACCTCTCCTCGAACACCATATCTGAAAAATTTCGCAAATTTGTACTCGTGCTGAATTTTTATCCCTCATACTCTACCAATTCGCAAGCCCCACGAAAACCTAACCCATGGGAAATATTGACATCCCCTTAATATTGCTTGTGTAAAAAAAAAAAAAAAAGAAGAAGATAGAAATGGATTTTTGGTTGATTATTTTATTATTTTGATCATTGGATTTAAATTTGAGCCATTAATTTATTTATTTTTAATCAAAGAACAACTTCATTAGACATTCAAAGCACCAAACTCAAGAGGGTAACAAAAGTAACACTAAATCTAGCATCTATAATGAGAGACTATATTGAGGGGTTACAAAAATGAGGGGGTTTAGTCTAATAAATCGGACAGCTATTAAGGAATCCATCAATATAATCCCTCACTTTTACCCTTCATTATAGCCTCCATGCTAAATCTATTTGGGGTTAAGACCTTGGGTTGGAGAGAGTTGGTCTAATAGCATTACCACTGGTGGGTTTTGCCATGGCAAAAGGCCCTCTGGATTGGCAAAACCCATCCCACCAAGCATTTCCAGCCTGGGCAGATGGTGGAGTCCACCAAGACTGGGCAAGCCCAAGGCAAGATCAACCTGAGCTGCTGCCTGAAGGTGTTGGCATCAGCACTGACGTCATCTTGGCGTTAGCGAACAAATTTAATTTTTTTTAACACTGCCCCCTGAGCCACACAATAGGCGAGTGTCACGCCTACGAAAACAAGACAAAAAGTCATGTACGCCACTGGCGGCTCTTGGGGTCCGATGCAATTTTTTTTCTTCATCCAACGGCTACATTTGTGTAATAAAAATTGAACCCAAAAAAAAAAAAGACTGTAAAAAACCAAAAAATTTAGAATTTTTTTTTATAAATACCTAGCAATATTCTTTACTTTCCAAACCAAAACTTCACACAAATTCTTCTTCTCATATCATAAGTATAAATAAAATTAATCTCATAAGTATAAATAAATTATTCTCATAAGTATAAAATAAAATTATTCTCATATGAAGAGTGATCGCCCTTGAGTTGCCATGACAACGAGTGGGAAAGCAAAAAACAATTGCTAGGGCAGGCATTATTAACGTGAATAGTAACGATCATTGTTTGCTCTTATCTTTTACCATGACAAATGGGTAGAAATGCTTTAAGGTAGGTGATAGGGATCGACACATTTGATTTTGGGCGGGCCTTGGCTGTCACCCTCTTTGTGGGCAAGTGGGCTGGGCCATTCGAGTCCACCAATTTTCCTGTCCAACTTGAACGTGATATGCTATGAATTAAAGTACGCAGAACAAGATTTGAAGTAATATTTTGCAATAAAGGTTATATAAAGATTGTCGATCATACAATTAAGGAACTACGGATAAAAATTTAAAATAAAATAGTGAATGTCAACAATCCCTATCTCAGTGGTACATAAGAGCATTTGCCTAAAAATGTAAGAAAGATCACACAATTAAGGTAAATTAATTAGAGTAGTGCAACAAATTAAGTGAGTATATAGATGGTACTAGAATACAAACACGTGATATAAGTTGTCTAAGTATTATAATACAAGTAGATATTTATTTATACTAAAAAAAGGAAATATGAACCATATCATCTATCCATATTATAATAATTTTTCTGTGACACGGAACAACAAAACAAGATTTAAGGTAAAAAAGTGAGAAAGATCACACAATACTCTAATTTTTTGTTTTTGTAGCGGTCCAAAAAACTTATTTTCCACTCCTCACTTCTAACAATTTTTTTCTTTTTTAATAGAGCAGAGAGAAAAAAAAGAAATTACAGGAAAATAGCATCAGCCATACCAACCCCAACAAAATCTAGTTTAATTATTAGCACTTGTAAATGCCAGGTACGTGGGAATAGCAGAAATGCAGAAGCCATTGAAGTTGGTTCCAGCAGAAGTTGTGTAGGCGCCCATGTTGTGGAACACAAGATAATCATTCAGCTTTAATTCAGGCAGTTTGCAGTCAGCAACAACTGTGTCCAATGAATCACAAGTCGGCCCAAAAACTGTTGATGAATATGTCACTTGATTTTGGTGAGGACTTAGAATTTGGAGCGGTGAGATTTGCATCGAGGATTTGTCATATGCTGGAAGATTAAATGACCCATAAATTCCATCACTAATCCAGTACTCTCTTTTCTCTCCCCTCACTCTCTTCCCCATCACATTTGCAACCATTGTGAATGCAGTTTCAGCAAAGAACCTTCCTGGCTCAGCCATCACCGTCAGATCAGAATCTGACTGATGATCAGAAAAGTAGTCTTTGATGGCAACATTTATGGTCTCGGCTATTTCATCAAACAGTTGATTTGCTTTGAACCCACCACCAATATCAAGCACATGCATTTTGGGCATTTTGAGCTCATCAGCCACATCAAATGCAGCTCTAGCTGCAGCTATTGCTCTGCGGTACACTTGAGATTCAGACGCTTTCGATCCCACGTGGAATGAAATTCCCACCACTCTTAACCCTAATTTGTGTGCGTGTCTAAGAAGCGGTGCAACCTCCTCAGGCAACGCACCAAATTTGGCCCCGAATGAACGCCATGAGCTCTTGTCATTTGGTACAGCAATCCGAAGCAACAAGGAACATTTCGGGTGGCACCTTTTGATCTTATCAACTTCGTCCATGGAGTCGAAGGTCGCAAGATCAACCCCGACTCCAGCTGCATACCTTAAATGGTACTCACCCTTGCATGGATTGGCATAAACAATTCTCATGGGGCTTACGCCATGAGCAAAGACGGCCTCAATCTCGGCCTTGCTGGCGCAATCAAAGCTTGCACCAAGTGTTGCCAATGCAGCAATGAATGCAGGCTCATGGTTACACTTGACAGCAAAGAAGGGCTGTACATTGGGAAGGCAATGGTTCCATTTTTCCATGAGGCTGACAAGAACCCCCAAATCTACAATGTAAAATGGTCCGTGTTCGTCTTGTTTGTTGATGATGGATCTGATGAGGGTGGTAAGTTGGTGCCTAGGTATGTCAGCTGGAACATGCTGATCACCTTTCACTTGGCTTGCAGCCAACTTGACTTGTAGGCTGCTAAAGGTGGAAAGGCTGGGAATGCTTGGCAGGATCAATGCCATGGAATAATGTTTCTAATCTGTGATTGTGGAAGCTAGATATTGATCTCTAAACTTAATATTTGTTAAGTTTGAGAGAGCTGTGCAATATGGGTAATCTTTTTATATAGATAATTTCATCAGAATGGGCATGACCAACCATGTCTTATCTTTCGCAGTAAAATAAAAACCAAATCCAATGCCAACGGGGTTTAGCTCAGTGAAAAAGGCCCTTAATTTATATATCAATGGTCTCATGTTCGAACCCTCATGACACTTTAATGTTGATGGTGTGTGAAACTCCCTCTCCCTTGTAGTTTAAATTATCGCTTGAATTAAATTTAAAAGAAAAAAACCTATCCAATAATTGAAGCATCTCTCTAATGCCATGAAAAGCATGTGGTGTGCTGGAATATTTGACAATACAGCGAATGATCTTATTATTATCTTTTAAGCTTTTGGGGTTGTTGGCTATTATTATGGTGGTTTAGGATTTGCTCCCAACTCTTCCATCTCTGTGCTGTCTGTGTAGCTGTACACACTCAAAAAGGGAAATTTCTCTTTTGTAAGATTATATTACTAGATTAAGAGTTATTTCATCAAAAAATTTGATTTAATATATCTTTAATCTTTGCATATTATAATTGAAAGATTTATATCACTAAAGTAAGAGTTAATTCATCAATAAATTTGATTTAATATATCTTTGCCTATTATATTTGAAAGATTCCTTGCAATTTGTCTGGGAAAGGGTATTGATTGCATTTTTCTTTATGAAGGGTTGCATTGCATTTGAGAAAACTTATATTATCAGATATTAAGTTTTTTCATTGTAGATTTATTGGATATATGGTTGGTTAGGCCCTATTATGATGGCCCCTCAAATCTCTTAATTTAGAGATAAATTACTCCCAATATGATAGAGTTTTCAAATTCGATCCTCCATTTCTTAAAGGAGATTAATCTAACTTTACTTGCTGAATTAGTTTTCTTATCAAATGTCAGTGTCGACAGTGACTAGACCGGATTGTTCAATTTTGGAGGAGCTCGACTATTTTAACATTTTGCCTTCCTATTTGTCATTTTTTTTTTTGGTAAAACTCCTTTTCTTATTTGTTATAAAGAATAACAAAAAAAATATTTCTAATTGGAAAAAGGA